TAAAGACTTAAATGTAAACTTAACTCATTTCAATACTCTTTCTTATGCATAAAAAATTTAATACCTCTTCAATGTGCTATATCCATTTGCTTGTGTTTGTGATTATACTTCTATAGATCCAATCTCAGAAAAATTATTCTGTATTCAATAAAGGCAATAAGATGGATGGATGATTTAGTTCCTACCTTCATTTTCCCTGTCTCGAGGTCACTGTCCTATCCTATCTCATGTTCGCTGTCTGAAGACTATTGGTATGTATATTATCAAAAATTTCTTAGTTTAGTTAAGGCAAGAATACAAACCTAGTCCTTATTATGCTATGTGTCTGGAATAAGTTCCAGTGTTATAAAAACATATGAATTCTAATGTGAATGCCAGTCAAAGTAGACTTCACAGGAAAATCAGTACAAAAGAGAAAGAGAAACATTTTATAATGATAAAATAATTGATTCATTTAAAAGACAAAACAATTTGAAATGCATATGCTCTTAATAATATAACTTCAAATTATATAAAGTTAAATTTTTATATAGCTAGAAAGAACAGCCAAATTCATAATCTAACGATTTCAAGTGGGTTTTATACCAGAGATGCAGGGATGGTTTAACATATACAAGTCATAAATGTGATACATCACATAAACATAATTAAAAACAAAAATTACATGATCATCTCAATAGACACAGAAAAAGCATTTGGCAAAATTCAGAATCCCTTTATGATTAAAATCCTCAGCAAAATTGGCATAGAAGGGGCCTACTTCAAGGTGATACAAGCCATCTATAACAAACCCACAGTCAATCAACATCATACTGAATAGGGAAAAGTTTAAAACCATTCCCCCTAAGAATATGATGCCTGCTCACCACATCTATTAATCATAGTTCTGGAAGTCCTAGCCAGAGCAATCAGACAAAAGAAAGAAAGAAAGGGCATCCAAATCAGTAAAGAGGAGGTCAAACTGTCACTGATTTCTAATGATATTATTATATCTAGATAACTCTGAAGACTTATCTAAAGAGCTCCTAGATGTGATAAATTCAGTTAAGTTTCAGGATGCAAAAATCAATGTACACAAATCATCAGCACTGCTATATACCAGCAACAACCAAGCTGAGAATCAAATCAACAACTTAATCCCTTTTCCAACAATTGCCATATATATACACACACATATATACGCGTGTATATATATACGTATATGCATATACACGTATATATGTGTGTACATACACGTATATAAGAGTGTGTGTGTATATATATGTATATTTGAGGAACATACAAAGCCAAGGAGGTGAAAGAACTCTTCAAGGAAAACTACAAAAAACTGCTGAAAAATATCATTGACAACAGAAACAAATAGATAACACATCTCATGCTAATGGATGGGTAGAATCAATATTGTGAAAGTGACCATACTGTCCAAAGCAATATACAGATTCAATGCAATTGAATCATCAAATACCATCATCATTCTTCACAAAACTAGAAAAAACAATCCTAAAATTCATATAGAACCAAAAAAGATCCTGCCTAGCCAAAGCAAGATGAAACAAAAATAATGAATCTGGAGGTGTCACATTACCCAACTTCAAACTATATTAGAAGGCTATCCTTACCAAAACAACATGGTACTTGTATAAAAATAGGTACATAGACCAATGAAACAGAATAGAGAACCCCGAAATGAAACCAAACACTTAGCAGCCAACTGATCTTCGACAAAGCAAATAAAAACGTAAAGTTTGGAAAAGACACCCTATTCAACAAACGGTAATGGAATATTTGGAAAGCCACATAAAGAAGAATGAGACTGAATTCTCATCTCTCATCTTATGCAAAAATCAACTCAAGGTGGATCAAAGACTTAAATCTAAGATCATAAACCATAAAAATTCTACAAGATAACATTGGAAAAAACATTCAAAACATTGTCTTGGTTCTTCGTGACCAAGAAACCAAAATCAAACACAACAAAAACAAAGATAAATAAATTGAACTTAATTAGACTAAAAAGCTTCTGCAACGCAAAAGAAATAATCAGCAAACAGACAACACATAGAGTAGGAGAAAATCATTGCAATCTATGCATCCGACAAAAACTCATATTTGGAATCCACAAGGAACTTAAACAGCAAGACAAAAAAAAAATTCTATCAAAAAGTGGGCTAAGGACATGAATAGAAAATTCTTAAAAGAAGACATACAAATGGCCAACAAATATTTGAAAAACTGCTCTGCGTTAGTAATTATCGGGGAAATGCAAGTTAAAAAGACAATGAGATATCATCTTATTCTTGCAAGAATGGCCATACTTTAAAAATCAAAATATAATAGATATTGACATGGATGTGGTGAAAAGGGAACACTTTTGCATTAATGGTGGGAATGTAAACTAGTATAACCACTGTGGAAAACAGTATGGAGATTCCTTAAAGAACTAAAAGTAGTACCTCCATTTGATCCAGCAATCCCACTACTGGGTATCTACCTAGAGGAAAAGATGTCATTATATGAAGAAGACATGCACATGTGTGTTTACAGCAGCACAGTTTGCAATTGTAAAAATATGGAACCAATCTAAATATCCATCAACCAATGAATAAAGACAATGTGGCATGGAATACTATCCTGGCATAAAAAGAAATAAAATAATAGGCCAGGCCCGGTGGCTTATGCCTGTAATCCCAGCACTTGGGGAGACCAAAGCGGTTGGGTCATCTGAGGTCAAGAGTTCAAGACCAGCCCTGTCAACATGGTGAAACTCCATCTCTACTAAATATACAAAACTTAGCAGGGCATGGTGGCAGGCACATATAAGATCAGCTACTCGGGAGGCTGAGGCAGGAGAATCACTTGAACCTGGGAGGCAGAGGTTGCAGTGAGCTGAGATCGTGACATTGTGCTCCAGCTTGGACAACAAGAGTGAAACTTTGTCTCCAAAAACAAAAACAAAAAATGAAAAGAAAAAATTATGAAATAATGGCATTTGCAGCAACCTGAATGGAGTTGGAGATTATTATTCTAAGTGGAGTAACTCAGGAGTGGAAAATCAAACATTGCATGTTCTCACTTATAAGTGGGGGCTAAGCTATGAGGACACAAAAGCCTAAGAATGATATAATGGACTTCGGGGACTCGAAGGGAAGGGAGGTAAGAGAGTGAAGGAGACTACACATTGTGTACAGTGTACACTGCTTGGGTGATGGGTGCATAAAAATCTGAGAAACCACTACTAAATAACTTACCGTATAACCAAAAACCACCTCTTCCCCTAAAAACTATTAAAATAAAGATAATTTAACACCTTTCCATCACCACTTCATCAAATGAATAAGATATCAGTATGAAAATAGAAGAGTTAAAAAAAACAAATAAATATTCGACATTTATAACCAATTAACAAAATATATATATTTTTCAATTGGCAAATGTTACCAAACATTTAACAAGATACAATATATGATGAGTCATACATCGTCTCAATAAAGTACATTCTCTGATCATAAGCATATTGTTAGAAATAAATAAAAATAAGATACTTAGAAAAACACAAGCTATCTGGGAAAGAAATCATGCACCTCTGTACATTCTGTATCTAATGTTGTTTTAAAAATTCCTTATATTGGGTGTGTGTGTGTGTGTGTGTGTGTGTGTGTGTGTGTGTGTGTTATTAGACTTACCACATGTCAAACAAATATATTAATCTTTCACAGAACAAAGTTTTCCTTGTATTTTTCTGTGTCTTTAATTTCTACTTTTATATTTGCTGTTGCCATTTTCTTCTTCCTTTAGTTTTAATGTAATCTGTTTTTGTAGCTTATTGTGGATGTTTAGATAATTGATTTTGCATTATCTTTTTTAGGATCAATACACAGAACTATAAATATTTTAAATACTACTGTGTTTGTACAAATTGTGGTACATAGTAGTATCATTATTTTTCAGTACGAAAGGTTTTCCAACTTCTCTGTGAATTTTTTCTTTGATTCAAGTACAACTTTAAGAGAATGCCTTGAAGGAACACAATGTCTGCGTCATTTAAGGAAAAAGACAATGATAGAGGAATTAATAGTATAATGTTATAGTTGGGGACTTTTGATACATAGTAATTATTGGTACTCTTAAGTCAACTTTTCTGTAAGTCTGGAATTATGCCAAAATGAAATTTATAAATTAAGCCTTTTACTCTATTACAAAAACACTTACATCAGGAACTCAAGGATAATACAATTTTAAAAAACTTATGTAAGCATGTTATATTAAAAGATTAAGGACGAAGGATTATACGATTACCTCCATAGTTTCAGAAAAATACACTAAAAATAAATATTTACTGCATATTATGTTTAAAGCAAAACATTAGAAAGATATCTTTTATTTTGGAAACCAGGATGCCTGTTATGACTAATTTTAAATGGAAAATTTGAGATGATTTTCAATAAAATAGCAATAAAACTAGGAAGTACATAAAAGAGTGAATATCAAGCAGAAAGAATCTAGATTATTTTGTATTGCAGAAGTCATAATGATATGGTTAAGATAAAAAGAACTAATAAGAATGTATAAAACAGGGCTAATTATAAGGTCAGCATTAAACAAATAACATATTTCTTATACATTATCAGAAGAAAAATGAAAATTATATAAGAAATTCATTTTACTATAGGAAATTTATGTCTACATACAAATTACCTAGGAATAAATTAACAATAAATACATTGGAATATAATGTGTTAAAATTTACTTAACTATGTGAAAGAAAAAATTAGCTATGTAAAAGAAAAAAAAGAGAATTGCTTTTAATGCATGGTGTAACTCAATATTTAAAGACCTCAATTATTTCCAGTTTCTCTCTGTCTCTCTCTCTCTTTTTTTTTTTTTTTTTTTTTTTTTTTTTGAGACAGGGTCTTGCTCTTATCTCCAGGCTGGAGTACAGTGGTGCGATCTCACTGCAACCTCTACCTCCCGGGTTCAAGCGATTCTCCTGCCTCATCCTCCTGAGTAGCTGGGACTACAGGCACACACCACCACATCGAAGTAAGTTTTGTATTTTTAGTAGAGACAGGGTCCCACCATTTGGCCAGGATTGTTTCAAACTTCTGACCCCAAGTGCTCCATCTGCCTCCGCCTCCCAAATTGCTGGGATTACAGGCATGAGCCTCCATGCTCGGCCTTTACTATTAATTCACAGCCATATCAGTCTGTTCTGTTTGGATACTTTTTGAAACCTAATAATTTTTTTCTAAAGTTTCTGTGGAAGACTAGATGGGTGGAAGTGAGAATTACAAAGAAACATTAAAAAAGAGTAAAATGTTTTACCAATTTTAAGGATCCCTGCCTATACTTATAAAAATATGATGTTTATCTAAACATATGATAACCATGTTATTTCAAACCAGATAATAATGATGGAATAGCAAAATTAAATAATGAAAGAGGAAGACGAAATATATGTATTATAGTTAAGATTTTGTTAAATTTGGTCTTTCAAATCAATGATATTATTCAATATAGTTTATAGCACACAGATGTAAATGCTGTACTATGCTGAAACAGTTAAGCATTTGTGCCCTCAGTCAAACGATCACAGATCACATCCATCTATGATATGTATATGATAGTGAAAATCCTACCTCACTGAGATAATTACTTGTTGATTTAATTTCTGCTATTTTCTCTTACTAGATTTGTTGCATATATGTTTTTAAATAGAATTCATCTTGCCTGTGTAGTGCATACACATGAGGTGTGCACACACACACGTACACATATGCCATCATCTGTGTGCATAAGCATACTCAGGTACACTTGTTTTGAGTTTATGCTAGCTGTATAAAAGTAACTTCTAGTTTTTCATGTTTTTATTTTGAATCCATTTATATATTAAGGAAATTATGTATTCTTTCTTTCCTTTCTGAACTATGAATTCTTGGCCCAGGAACTTTATTATAGGAGTTCTTTGATGAAATTTTGATAATCTTCTCATTAATTATTTGTATGGCAAATATTTTAGTATTGATTTCTTCTAAAGTCAGTTTTGATGATTTCAGACCACATATTTTTAAAAATGATTTGAGATTGGCACTTCATTTTATGGTTTATAAGTTTATATTGAATATGTCATTAATGATAATTCCTGTTTTTTCTGCTAAGTTTTCCATATTCTGTTTATATCATTGTACTTTTTGAATAGCTAAATATATTTTTAAAAATATTCTTATGCCATAGAAGAAAAGATCCTAAACACCTTTTGTGTGATTCATATCACTAGTTAGAATAAAGATAAAACAAAGACAATTTTAAATTCTGTTAACTTATGATCAAATATTATTTCTCCACACCAAAATACCAAGTGAATGATGTGAAGTGTAACCCAACCATTGGCTATGTTTCATGTTTTTGTAACACACTTGTTTTCTTCAGCACAGTATTTGCAAAAATTGTGTGCGCAGTCATCAGATACATTTTCTGGGCCTGATTTCCTTCCTGATGTAATTTTATGATCATCCATTTTCCAATTTCCTTTGAAATTCACTCATTTAGTAAGAATTTAGTGAATATATTCTGTGTACACTGCTTCATACTGAAATTGGTGATTTAAAAAGAAGTTAAAATGTATTCTTTATTAATACTTTCTGGGACATTCATTGTACATGTGCATCAAAGGCATGCACATAGGAAGAATCTGCAACAATTTAATTTACATACAATATGAACTATAAAAATGTGTGATACAGAAAACATGTCAAAAATAACAAGCTAGCCCTACAGGAAGTAAATTAGAAAGACAATGAGAATCTGTACTTGGACTGGACATTGAACAATAAGTAAATTTTAAGAGTCAATGGGAATAGAAAGACAATTGAAAAATTAGGTATATGAAAATAATGTTTTTTGAAAACCTCTTTTCTGTTTTTATTCCAATAAAATGTTAGTATGTTGGTGGAAGATAAATCTAAGAGATTACCATAGAATAGTAAATATGTATTATAGACCTTAATGGTTTTCTAAATGCAGAAGTTTATTATATGGTTTAAGTCTGTATTTATTCAGAAAAATGCATTATTCTTATATTTACTTTCCCTGATGAGTCATTTGGACTTCTTTTTAGAAACGTATATTGGTTATTCACATTATATCAACCACATGTATAAACAATTGAAGAAAGTCGTAAACAAAAAAAAATTGCTCTGATCCTCACATAATTTATATTCTAGAAACAAAAGATACAGTTTAATAAATAAGTCAAATAATATGTACTTCATGACAGGAGATATTATCCATGTCAAAGTTTCATAAACAATCACCTGGATATGGCCATGCAATGCCAATATATGAAATATAAGACCTTCTGTGTGAAAAAGAATTGAAAGGAATCCTGGACTCAAACGAATATGTAAAAAGTTTTTGTAGAGTGTTAAGCAGGAGATGATTGTCATTTGAAATAACAAGTTATAGGTGGGAATGGAAAGAGTAAATAGACCAAGGAAACATTTGAGGGAAATATACTTTCTGATATTATATTTATGCTGCAAGGGAACAGAGAAAAGTAATAAATAATTATTTTTCAAATTTCTGGCTTAAAAATTTGTTAATCCAGCTCCTGATACAGGGGATATTAGTTAAGACTAACTGCTTTGGTTGCCAGGTAAAGAAATTCTACTTTGTCAGGAACAGGCAGGAGTCAATATACTGTGGTCCACGGCCAAATTGATCTTGCCACCTGTTTTTGTAAATGAAGTTTAATTGCAACACAGCCATATCCATCATTGGAGCTTAATAGTTGCACCCAAACTGTATGTTCCATAAAAACCTAAAATATTTGCCATCTAGCCCTTTACAGAAGATGCTTACTGACCTTGGACTAAAACAGAACAGTAAAGTTCATGAGTGTTCACGTGTTTTCAGGTGTTCAGACAGTGTCATCCGGACTCTGCCTCTGCATCTTTCAGTTCTGCTTCAACATCGGCTCCTGCTTCAGTAGGCTGTGAAGGTGCTGCACTGAGACAACATTACCGTATCCATTTAGAATTGAAAGGGAGTAAAGGTTGTCCAACATTTTTAGCAAAGTTCATGGAAGTCACTCTCTGTACTGAGTTCTGGATTTCATGGCGTCTGTGGAGTTATAGGTGGAATAAAGTCATTCGGACTGAGGATTTGGAGTCTCCAAAGGAAAATCATGGTACTATTATCACCCACACCTGATGTCCAGCATATTGGGAACATAGGAGAAGCATAAGGTCTTGGAAAGAGAAAACATTTTTAAATTTTAGTCAGAATGAGTTAAAAAGATACAGTAATTTAAAAAAATGAATACTCATGCAGAACGTATTATGAGCTAGATAAAGTTTTGGTCTTTGGAGAATTTTATCTATATTGACTGTATTACCTCTCACAATGCTGCTGTGAGAGACATATCTCCATTTTCAGATGAGAAAATTGAGGGAAACTGAAGATATTCAGAAATAATGGCAACCAACTAATACTATTTATTTACTATTTGCTAAATAATTTCCTAAATAAATTTTTAAAGTAATTATCTTCCCGGGCAATGCATAATTATTGAGAAGTCACTGTTATAAGCATCAAATGCCTAGCTATGTACAAAAAGACAAAGTATCTGCCATCTGGGAAATCATGCTACTATGACATGATAGTAAACAGGTAGAAAAAGTTGGCTTTCAGTACTTAAGTACCATCAGCAAAGTATGATGGGAGGCCTTCATTTTAAATGAATGCTGCATGTTCAGCCCAACTCCTTCTAAACATAACTGATACATGAATTGATATCATACTACATATTTCTGTTTTCGAGTATCAGCATAATTTTGAGTGGAGAAAAAATATACATACACCTTTATCTGCAGTGAGATGCTCCCTCTCTCTGTGTAAGAAAATTGAAATAGAATTGTGTTGTTTTAGAAAAGCAAGATTAAGTTTCTTTTGTTTAATAAATGTAAATTATTTACTTATTGAAAGTAGGTAACGGGAAGATCATGATCACAGCTAATGATTATTGAGTCCTTGAAAAATACTGGATAGTCTTTACTTAAATCATCTTTAGATTAACTGGCATTATTATAAACCTATTTTACCAGCATGGAAATTCCTGTGGTCACCTGGCCCTTAGTGCACCATGTGCTGTATAGTCAGGATTTGAACCCAGTGAGATACAGCTAGAGCAGCATGCTTCCACTCACTGCACCATGATGCCTCCATAGAACCCCATGGTTTTCATTGGTGCTGCTTGTTCTCTTGTCTCAACTGTGAAAACATCTGAGACTTTGCAGCTGCCTCAGAGAAGTAGAAAGAAAATTGCAGTCCCTTTCCTGATACTACCAGGGATAGGAAAGTGACTGCAAACATTGAACACAATTTTAAGAGTAAGAAATGCTTGGACTCACTGTTTCCTGAATCGCATAGTGCAGAATATGAATTCAGGCAGTGGCTGACTTTGTCCTCCACCTGTGTAAACAAGGCGGTAGACTCCAGGAGGGAATCTGAGATAAAATTTAAAAATTTTTTTAATTATTAGTTTTGTAACCTGTGACACCTGTATGTGCAGTTTCTGTGGCCCTCTTTAACTCTAAATGGATTATGGAGCAAGTTGATAAATAATCCATCAACTAGAAAACCGTTATGCAGAACAGGGCCCATCTGTGAAAGAAAACAAAAATCAACTTCATTAATGTCTATGTTTTTGGAAAGGAAATTCTCCCTTATGCTTTTCACAGTTATGTAAATCTCAGGCACAAAAAAAGCCTTTTCATAAGTATTAGCATATACTTTTTTTAAATAATGAGAATGTTTTAAATGTTACAATTAAAATATAAGGAGACATAATAGTTAAATTTCAATAATACATGTATGTACAAAGTAGTACAAATCATATGCTGTAATAGATGGGAACACAGTAATTTGGTTCAGAGTATTTAGAGCATGTTCATTAATCTAGATTAATACATTGCATGTTTAATTTAGATAGAAATAACATTTTTATTTTATAATTATATAAGAACATAGCTATTTTTCAGATTTATACATTATTTTCTCAGAATCTGAAACTAAAATTTAGTTTTAGCTGTATTGTCACCTTGTTTTTTCTTTTCGGAGATATGTAGTTTAGGTCAGCTTAGTAATATCCAGAATTTACACATGTAAAATTTAGCAGGATTTTAAGATATACCGATATTCTCAAGAAAGTATGAAATAAATGACAAATTAATGAAAATTAATGATAAAATAATACTAACAATAATCATGGAGAGCACTGATCTTATTTTCCTTGAAATACCAAAGAATTGGCACAATGATGGGACTTTTTTTAGATTAAATGATCTAAATAATTGCTTCAGTCTTCCATTATGCTTTCCTAAACTAGATTCTTAGGACTTTATGATATGTGGTAGTTAAGAGTATACAGAGGGGAAGAAATCACATCCAGTAAGTTGTTTGCTTAACATACTTATCATAGTTCTCACTTATAAGCTAATTTAAGCAATTTTTTAGGTATACATATTCTAAGCTAAATCTAACATAGCTTTATTTTCTGATCTCAAAGAAGATCTTAATTCCACTGAAATTATTGTTATCAATATCACTGTTTCATATGCTTGTTAATATTTAGATATTGTGATACCTACATACATACATACATATTTGATAAAATATAGCAATAGATATACCTAGAAATACATCTACCTTTTTTAATGAGGCTTTAGCTCATGGCAACTTGACACAAAAAAAGGATGACTGTAGTATCCATAGTCGCAATATACAGGAGTAATCCTACTTCATTGAAGTACCTTTATGAAAGGATAGCATTGTACTACATTAAGGGTCATAAATTATCATGATACTGATGAATGGATTTGTTAGAGAAAATAAGTAAAGTGGTATTTAGTATGTGAGAATCAGTTAGCACTCAAAATTTTATTTTTTTCACTAACTTCTATGAAACTTTCTATTGTTTTCTTCTGGGATTTGACTTCTCCATTTGGCGAGCTGTCATTTTGACAGGGGTTAACACCAAAGATCATCTTTCCGGAGGGCCATTTTACTGGCAAGCTTGAAGACAGCTGTGGTGGGATTTGCTTCACATTAAACCAGTTTAGAGGAGAATGCAGAGTCCCCCAGGTATGCTGTTAAAGCAGGGCATGCCAAAGTAATATCTTGCTTGGTTGCCACTTTGAACTGCTTTCTCTTTATATTGTTGAAGCAGATTTTTTTCCCTCCGCCATTAAAGGTATTAATTGTAAGTGCTTGAGAAGCACTTGTCACAAAGCACCTCTGCTCCTACTCCCATTTATTTAGTTGTAGCTTTCAAAACATAGAGAAATAACTGTTTTTTTTGTTTTTATATAACAGCACTTTAAAATGTTTCTTTTATGCTGTTCCTAAACAATGTCATAAAGTCATCTCCATTAGAGATCTTTCTGCTTATTTCAAACATCAAAAATTACCCATATGTGTTGAATAATTTTCACACTATATGAAAGCTTCACGTTTCCGTACAATTTTTCCCAATCTAGAATTTTGAATCTACATGGTTTAAGTAGCCCAGACCTTTGGTACCCAGATATGGATGAATTAATCATCAATGACTAATACATATTTTATATAGTTTGAATTTTATTAATTTGTATAATGAAGGGAACTTCAGCCTGTTGTATTCCATGGGAAATCAATCATCTTATGTACAGTGTTTACTTCCCAGCTTTGCAACTATAGTGGCTGGAAATGATAAAGTAGTTCCCAGAATTTCAGTGTTAATTACAGTGTAGTACATCATTGGGACCCTTGTTTTAGAAAAGAAAACCTTTTCAAGATTTGTATTACATTGCCATCTACTTGAAATGTAGTTTAATTGTATAAGAAATACATTTTTTTACAATTTTGATTTTGAGTATTTTCCTACTAAACTATATCAAAGATATTTAATGTTTTCAAAACATGTTTTTGTAAACGTGTTTTGAAAGAAATAAAGAAAATGAATCACCCTAATAAATATTTTAAAATTGTTTTAGATCTAGGATATTGTAGCTGTTATTGTGATACTCTGTCAGTTTTTATCTTCGGGGCCTCCAAGAAACTCATTTCCCAGTTTATGAGGAAGACCATTTACAGCTTCATCACTCAATTAGGAATTGCCCTCAACCACAGGAACCTGCATATGTCAAGAGTATGCCCATTGCGTGAATGCATCCTGAGATCCATTGTTGTCCTATGGTGGGGATACCAAAGTTGAACTCTTATAACTCTATTTGGAACTGTGTTGAAGGCTCATTTTAAGTCCAGAGCTGTTTATAGAATCAGCAGAATCCTCGATTGTCACCTTACTGTTTGGCAGCTTCCCCCTCTTGTCTAACCTTGCATTTCTCCCTTCCTTGCAGGTGTGTATCTCAAGAGCACTCCACAACAAAGATTCTGCCTGCAATCCTCCACTTCAAGGTCTGTTTCAGAAACCTGTGTAACACAGTTATGCATAGAGTGGTCTCAGGAAGCTGACTCTAACATGAAAATTTAGATTTGGATCTTTTCCTGACATACTGAATATTCATAAGAGCATATGATACATTTGTCTACCATAAACATGTCATTTCAAAAAATCCTCAAATTACCTGTAGAACATAATTTTAAAACTAGTGTGTAGGAATATTTGTATCAGTTATTCAGTCTTCTTAATATCTGAATCCAAATTAATCTTCCATTCTGCTTTTATTTATAAATAATATGATTTATTGTCAGATTCAATAATTTATATTTTCATTTATTCTAAAGTAGGAAATGCCAGCATAAAAATAAATTATTTGAAACAAATCACATTGTTGTCCCATTTCACCATTACTCACATGTAGAAGATACTGTTTTTAACAAAACTAATAAGAAACAGAAACTACCATTTATTAACTCATGCTTACTGGAAGCATAGAAGGATTTTCTTATTTAACTTTCAATCAACTTTTTCATGAACATTTTTGTTATTGACAAATAAGTTTAATTTATCAAATCCTCACAGCAAATTATAGGTGCCATTATTAACAGATTTTTTTTTAAACATGATTCATAGAAAAGATTTAATGATATGGTTTGGATCTTTGACGGCATCAAATCTCATGTTGAATTGTAATCCCCAGTGCTGGAAATGGGGCCTGGTGGGAGGTGATTAAATTATGGAGGTGTAGTTCTCATGAATGGTATAGCACCTTTCCCTTGGTGCTGTCCTGTGATCGAGTTTTCATGACATGCGGTTGTTTAAAAGTGTGTGGCACTTTCCCATCTCTCTCTCTTGCTCTTCCTGCAGCCATGTGAAGGGCTGTTCCCCCTTTGCCTTCTGCCATGATTGTAAATTTCCTGAGGCCTCCCCAAAAGCTGAGCAGAAGTCAGCATCATGCTTCCTTAACAGCCGATGGAATTATGAGTCAATTACATCTATTTTCCTTACGAATTACGAGTCTTCAGGTTTTCTTCATAGCAGTGAGGAAATGAACTAATTCAGCTAGTAAATGACAAATATAAAAATAGCAAATAGCACAAGAAGATACCAGGCAAGACTAGGGACTCCGGAACCTAAGGATTTCTGAAAGCATAGGTTTTTAAGAGTGTGGAGAAACTAAGTCTGGGACATGTTTAGGAACTCAATTACATAAGAAATAAAAATCATATGTAGACTATTTAAATTTAGAAGAGGAGGAGGAGAGGAGAAAGATGAGGAAGAGGAGGAAGAAGAAGACATTCTGGCTTAGCACATTTACTCCAGTCTATAGGGAAAGCTCAGTTATACCCCTTCCCCACTAACCTTAAGAGGAGCCCTAATGTTCGTAAGGGGCTTTCTCAAGGACTCAAATCCTCAGGGATACAAAATAGGGTGGGATACCGAGCAATAGAGGGGTGTGTGTGTGTGTGTGTGTGTGTGTGTGTATGTTAGACAAATAGATGAAAAATGTTATTTTGCAACATAATCATTTTGTTTGGAGTCTCTCTTTTTCTCTCAATTTTCTCTTTCTCTCCCTCTCTCTTTTTCTTTCTCACTTTCCCTTTGCAATACTAGTGAAGTAAGGCAAAATGAAATGAGCATGGGATCTTTCTCTAGCTTGATAGATCGTTTGTTATTATTTGTTTCTTCATTACAAACTGCCCTGTTAAACTTAGTTCATGGCTTAAACAAAATAATTTGTCTTGTTCCTGAAACTGAACTTTGGGCAGGGCCTAGTGTGAAGGTCTCATCTCTGTCTGTGTCAATCAGGTCAGCTGAGGAAACTCCACTGGGGTCACAGGTATAATTTTCAAGACAGCTCACAGATGTGGGTGATGGATGCTGTCAGTTGGTACCTCAGCTGCAACTGTCATTCAGGAGCCTCACTTCCTTTCCAAATGAGAGTCTCTGCAGAACAGCTTATGTTCTCCATGGCATAGTGGTAGTATCCTAAAAGCAAGTCTTCCAAGGGACAGGAAATAGAAGATGCTAATCTCTCTCTCTACCCCCCCCCGCACACTTTAAGTTCTGGGTACATGTGCAGAATGTGCAGGTCTGTTACATAGGTATACATGTGCCATGGTGGTTTGCTGCACCTATCAACTCATCACCTAAATTAGGTATTTCCCTAATGCTGTCCCTCCCCTAGCTCCCAATCCCCCAAAAGGCCCCAGTGTGTGATGTTCCCCTCCCTGTGCCCACAGGTTTCTCCTTGTTCAACTCCCACTTATAAGTGAGAACATGCAGTGTTTAGTTTTTTTCTTGTGTTAGTTTGCTGAGAATGATGCTTTCCAGCTTCATCCGTGTCCCTGCAAATGATATGAACTCATCCTTTTTTTTTTTTTTTTTTTTTTTTTTTTTTACAGCTGCAGAGTATGCATGGTGCTATATGTGCCACATTTTCTTTATCCAGTCTGTCATTGATGGATATTTCGGTTGGTTCCAAGTCTTTGCTGTTGTGAATAGTGCCTCAGTAAAATAGTATACATGTGTCTATATAGTAGAATTATTTATCAACCTTTGTGTATACAGTCAATAATGGGATTGCTGGGTCATATGGAGTTTCTAGTTCTAGATCCTTGAGGAATCACCAAACTGTCTTCCACAATGTTTGAACTAATTTACACTGCCACCAGCAGTGTAAAAGCATTCCTATTTCTCCACATCTTCTCCAGCATCCATTATTTCCTGACTTTTTAATGATCACAATTCTAACTGGCATGAGTGGTATCTGATTGTGGTTTTGATTTGCGTTTCTCTAATGACCAGTGATGATGAGCTTTTTTCATATGTTTATTGGCTCCATAAATGCCTCTTTTGAGAAGTGTCTGTTCATATCCTTGTCCACTTTTTGATGGGATTGTTTTTTTTTTCTTGTATATTGTTTAAGTTCCTTTTTTTTATTATACTTTAAGTTCTAGGGTACATGTGCACAACGGTGCAGGTTTGTTGCTATGATATTGTGCCATTTGGTGTGCTGCACCCACAACTCTCAGTACCCATCACTCATCATTTACATCAGTATAACTCCCAATGTCCTTCCTCCCCCCCCCCCTCCCCCCCTCCCCCTCCCATAATAGGCCTCAGGTGTGATGTTCCCCTTCCAGAGTCCAAGTGATCTCATTGTTCAATTCCAACCAATGAGTGAGAACATGTGGTGTTGGTTTTCTGTTCTTGCGATAGTTTGCTGAGAAGTTCTTTGTAAATTCTGGGATATTAGCCCTTTGTCAGATGG